AAGCATCAGTTTAATGGATGCGGATGATGGGCAAGGGGAGGATGAGTGGAAGTAGTCCACGTTCGGGATTTGCGAAAACCCCCTAGCGACCAGACGCGCTTTGAACTTCTCAATTTTTCCGTCCTTGTTTGTCTTCCAAGTGAAGCGCCACTTCGAGCTCACGGGTCTACGCCCCTCTGGCGTACCGTCTACGAATGAAAACGTTCCCGTGCCCAAGTGCCCATCAAACTCTTCCCTCATGGCCTGTTCCCATCCCTCTCTGTACACAGACTTGGTAACGCCGGCTACGGTCATGGGGGGGGATTCAACGTCACTCCGACGCTTGCCTATGGGGGATTCTGTACTCAGCTCGGTCGACGCCAGGGGCCTCACGAAGGCGTCTGGAGAGTTGAGCACGAGGTCCTCCACTCCCAGCAGGAAGTCCTCTGCCTCTTGGCGCGCGATGTTGGCCTCCTCCGCGCGCTCGCACAGCAGCGCTTGCACCGCCCTCGCCTCTAGCTCTTCCACCACGTCGACCACACACGCGATCATCCAGTGGGTGTGCTCCGTCGTGCTGTTGATGGGCAGGATGGGCAGCCCCGCCTCCGACGCATGGCGGGCGAGCAGGCCTTCGGCACTCGTTGGCGACGGCGACGACTCGTACCTCATGTTCCGGCGAGGGTTCTCCCTGAGTCGGCGGCTGGTGAGCTCCGCCGGCTCGCCAAAGCGGGCGAGCTTCCGTCCCTCGGGCCCGCGGAGGGCCGGGATGTCCGTGTCGCTGCCGCTGTCACTGCCGCTACCGCTGCTGTTGCTGCTGCTGCTGCTGCTGCTGCTGCTGCTGCTGCTGCTGCCGCCACCGCGGCTGCTGCTGCTGCGACGGTCGTCCTCACCGCCGCCCACATCGCCCATCCCGGTCGACGTGGTAGATGGGGCGACGCTCGCGCCCTCCCTGCTCGAGGGGGCGCCATCGCCAGCGTCGCCCGCGCCCGACTCCTGGGGCGCGGCCGGCGGCGCCGCCGGCGCATCACGCGCGGGCGGCTCCGCCGGCCCCGGGTTTGCCGTCGTGTCAAGGTGGAAACCTCCATCCTCAGGTTCTCCCTCCGCCCTCCCTCCACCGTGGCATGACGCACCCTCCCCGCCCTCGTGCTCCCCAGTCGTGAGCTCCTCGTCCTCCTCTGCAATGGGAGGCAGCGGCTGGGGGTGCGCGGT